CATTGCACTCACTCTGTATTTTACAATGCTATTTGAATTGCTGTCCTGCATTCTTTTAAAGACATCTTTTTAAAAGAAAATTGGGGAAAGCTTTGGTTTGATTTATTTCTTCATAATGTCACAGTCAAAGATTCAAAGATTCAGTTCCTGAAAAGGCCTGATCTTCTGTGTTGTTCTTTAAGAAAAATCACTAAGGATAAAAGCTGCGAGACTAGGTTTACAAATTAAACCATTCCGGTGTCTACTGTGCTATTTCCTTCAAGACTGCTTCCAGAACAGCAGATCTTACATAAAATAGGTTGGGCTCAGGGAACAGGACTTCTTCAGGCATAGCAGTTGAGAAAAGCCCTTTGAAATGAGTCTAAAAGACAGAACATATGGCTTTCCCCTCTATCCATGCTTTTCCATATAAGTAATGTAACTGTCTAGTTGGAGTAAAGGTTAAAATAAAAATAAGCTAGTTAAATGAAACATTCTTATTTGTCCATTAATATGCCAATAAATGAAAATCAACTTCCGTGGCATGTTTCCTTGCCAGAAACGCTGTTAGCAGAAGTAAAAGAAATGAGGAACAGGGAGGTGCTTGGTGGGGATACTTAGGCCACAGAGATGCTGCATGAAATGGGTCTCTGCTCAAACAAAATCCAACTAGAAAATGTGGGGTGGGTCCAATCCACACCCCGGGCCACAGGGGCAGGGGGCTTCTGATGGCATGAGGAAGAGATGGGGCCACCAGGAAAAGGGAGATTTCTATGGGTAGACTAGAAGAGGAACCTGGGCATGGTGCTCATCAGGGTAAGAGGCTACTTCCTGGGCCAGCCTCCCATCCATCCCAAGGGCTTGCTGTTACTCAGTCCTTGTCTCACCCCAGAACTGTTCCTATTAAAGAGGAAGTATCCAACCATCCTGGCTGCTAACAAATGAACAGCCTCAGAACCAAAAAAAAAAGTTCTCCCTAACAGGGGTAAATGTGCAGGACAGAACCTGGTCATCCCAACAGAAGATGAAAGATAGAAATATGAATGTCAAGACTAGCAAAGACCAAGATTTGTATTATGCTTCATTGATTAAGAGGCAAAAGTATCTGTGAGCACAAGTTAGAAAAAGAATTCCTGGTGACTGGGCCCAATAAGAAGATATTCTGCCCTCTTAGTAGTGAGTGGCACATCCCTGAGTGCTCAGTAGGAGGCAGGCGGGTGAGGAATCCTGCATAGGAGAGGTAAGATTCTTGGGCAGGGCGTGGTGGTGCACGCCTTTAATCCCAGCACTTTGGAGGCAGAGGCAGGCAGATCTTTAGGCCATCCTGGTCTACATAGTGAGTTCCAGGACAGCTGGGGATACAGGGAGTCCCTGTCTCAAAAAGAAAAAAAGAATAGAAAAAGATTCTTCTCAAAGGTCTGCTCCAGCCCTAAAAGTATGATGACTAACCAGGCTAGTACAAGGTACTGGTGACCTTCCTTTTCTAAGAAATGCAGTCATGTACCTGACAGCAGACATCATAGAGATGTGTAGTGACCCACATCTTTGATGGAAATAATAAAAATGTTTGGGCCACCCTCCTAAAATTCTTCTCCCATGGCTGGGAATATCTGCAATCCTATTTCCATTCTACAACACTCCTCTCTCCTCTCCCATCCCCAAAGTAAAGAGCTTTCTTCATCTTGAGACCATGGGGGTAACCACAGAGTATAAAAACTCTTTGGATGTTGATCTACTTTTATTCTGTTCTCAGCAAGATAGAATTACATCACTCCCTACAACAGGCTGGGCTACAAAGCTTAACCAGGCCAATCCCACGTTCCCATGTGCTTACTCCCAAACATGGAGTACACAGTGCTCCACAGAAGGTATACAAGTCCCACAGCATCCATTTGATTTTAAGATTTGGAGGAATACATATACCTGTTTATATTGGTTTGCTCATTTGAGTAAAACAGAAGGAAGAAGGAGCTGCAAACTTCACATGAATTTTTAAGATTAAATGAAAGATTATAAAGCAAATACTTTCTTACACTGGAGATACTTATGGCTGTATCTGCAGATCTCCACAGAGAGAAAGCCCTCTCTAGAGGGGGGAAAACCCTCTCTACCACTTGGGTATGGTGGCTGAAGTTGCTGGGATGGTCTGAGCATTTCCACACGCTGCCTACTTCTCATCCTTAGGAAGCCGGTATTACTGTTCCCAATTTACATGGGAGAAAACTGAGGATCAAGAACATAAAAGTTGCCCAAGCCAACTACCTAATTCACAAATGGCACAACTGGGACTCAACTCAGGTCTGACTCCAGAGTCACCTAATTTTCTCTTACCATGTTTTGTTTTGTTTTGTTTCCCACTCCATCATTTGCTGTTTCCTAATTTTCCTACTGTTTTTCTTTAAATAGACCCATTTCTTATTACAGTAATTACTGTATTGCTTACTATACACCTGAAGTATTTGAGACTTTAATTTCCTATTAGCAATGGTGGCAATGGGGTTAGATGTCCAAAATGTGACTGTTTTGTTCTCACAGTCTTCTGCTGTGTTGGGATTATTTAAGTGTATTAGGACATAATTGATATTTCAGTTGTCTATAGCAGGGTCTGACACAAAAGCCCCTGTGTATCAGTCAAACCCATCTCAGCGCTAGCATTTACAGCTCTCTTCCCTTAACAGATACAGCTTTCTGGTCACAGCTGGAACTCTGCTTATTTGTGTGTAGTGGGCCAAGGTTAATAGCCACAAAAGAAGTAGCCTAAATCTTCCCCACAGTAAGATGAAGGTGTCTTATCTGTTCCTATTACATTTAGATAGACCAGCTACCCACTCTGTCAATCTGTCCTGGGCAGAATAAAATGGAAAACAAATGATCCAAATTGATTATTTCCAACATCTGAGGGCACAGATATAAAGCTATCTTATTCCAACAACTACTGTATCACCACAAATACATTTTCCTGGGTTTTTTTTTTTTTTTTTTTTTTTTTTTTTTAAATCAGGGGCTGGAGAGATGGCTCAGCAGTTAAGAACACTGGTTGTTCTTGCATAAGACCCGGGTTCAAATCCCAGCACCCACATGGCAGCTAACAACTGTCCATAACTCCAGTCCCAGGGGATCTGACAGCCTCTTCTGACCTTCGCAGGCATTGCACAACACAGGTACATTTACCTACATGCAGGCAATACATGCATACACATAATATTTTTTTATACATAAAATATTTTTTTAAGTTTTTTAAAAAGTTTTTAAAAAATCATTGATTCTTCTCTGAATGTATCAATTTCTAAAATCTACTATCCATTTTGCTTTTGCTCGGCACACTAACAGCTTTACTTTATCTGGCCTCTTTTCACAAAACATCATTGTAATTTTTCAAGTGTCTCTTCTGATGATTCAATTATTCACTCCACACCCTCTGCAACTCCTGTTTATAATTCTGCAGCCCTATCAAACTCAGTTTCACTGTGTATTCCAGATAGGCACTGAGCCAATGTATTGCCAATAGCACTCACTCTGTGCTAACTTAAAATACACAGTGCAGTTTGCCAAGTTTCCTTATTTGGCAAGAAGGTCCCTCAGTTCCCAAGATCTTTGACCATCCATTTTTAGATCTAGATCTCTGTGCTTAATATTTGGCCATTACTCCCCTTAATATGTTCTTATGAATCCCCTAAAAGAATAAGAAAAAGATCAATCAGTTTTTCACTTAAACTGAAAAAAAAATTCAAAATAATCCTAAAATGTTACAGTAGAAATTAAATTGTACAAGACTAAACAGTAGACACTACTCCAAAAGCCCATTTTTATCTTAATTCTTTTTCTAAACAAGTTAAATTTATGTTCATTAACAATCTCCCAAATCTCTCACTATTGTAGCAGAAATCTAAAACAAAAGACTACAAATGACCAAAACCATAATTAAAATGAAGCCAGAACTTTTTTCTTTAATAGAAAAAAATGAAATGAAATTTCACTGCAGACAGGCCTACTACAAAGAAGTCTAGTCTTGAATCATTTGTTTATTTTTATTGTTGAATATTTAGGTAGATTTGGCTCCACTAAATCCTGGCTGTCGGTTTCACCTATGGTCAAGAAAGCAAGGAAGGTCCGCCTAACTCAGCTTCAGGGGTAAAACAGGAAACCACTTTAACAATAATCTTAACTCTGATACCCTCAATTCATTCTGTAAAACGATTCTCAACCGCATTATTAATGAAAGCCGCTTATTGTGAAATCGTTCGAATGGGCCAGCAAATGGTGTGCTTTCATTATTAACGAAACTAACAAAAATAGTAATTACGCTTTCCATAAACAATGCTTATGCAGGATCATCAGGCGTACCACAAACATACATTTTCTGCAAATCTAACAATGATATGCCATTGTTTTTTAGGCGATTCCATGTCATCTAGCCAGTTTAGAATGAAAGTTTTTCTGAAAGCTGTCATGCACACGCCAGGCGTGGCTGAGATCCCGCCAGCCGCCCGGTGGCCCTGGAGCCCGGGGTACTGGGGCCCCAAGCCAGGACACCCGGGGCCCGAGGGTAAGCGCAGGGGACACGGTCGGCTCCTACCCAGAGGGTAGGGTGGGCAGGTCCGGGCGACGCGCGCCCTGCTGCCCGGGGACACGGCCCGACGGGCAGAGAGCGCGCGGCCGGGTGGGCAGGCGCGGTCAGCCAGTCCTGTCCGGCCGGGCCCAGCGCTGTGTCCTCAGAGCTCCGGGCCGGCTCTGCCAGGCCGCTCCGAGCGCCGCCGGCCGGGCCACTGGCTGCGCCCGGCTCTTCCCGTGCGCCAAGTTCTCGGCGGGACCAGCCCGAACTTGCCCGAGCCATGCACGGCCCAGGCGCTGCGGAAGTCGGGCGCGGGCTCCAGGTCTCCGGGCCGGGTCGGGCCGAGGACTGCCCGCTGAGGACAGCCGCCCGCGGAGCTCCGGGCCCGCCCGTACCGGTGCTCTCCCGGCCCCTGGCAGGGCCTCAACGGAGCGCTGCTGTCCTCCCCCGCTACCTCCGCCCGGCCTACCTGGCTCCCGGGCGGGCACGAGCTGCAGCCGGGGAGCGAAAACCCCGCGCGACGATGGCGGCGGGGGTTGAGGAAGGTGGCCCGCAGGGCTCCCACGCTTACACCGGACTCAGGAGTTGAACATTCCGCCTCTCCTCACGGCGCCAATAAGGAAGACAGTCGCCGCAACAGCACCACCTACCTCCGCGCGCGGAACGGCCGGCGGGGCAGTCCTGCCCTCCCTTGCACGCCCGCCGCCAGGCCGACTCACATGAGGGTAGCGGGGCCTGCTCAAGGACGCAGCCATCCCGCCCCGGGCGACAGCTGGAGCACCGCGGCTTCTCTAGAAGTTAAAGCTTTTGCAATTACCTCCATCCTCATGAACTCACACTCTGGGGTCACAGAGCTAGGGCTGCTTCATACTCCACGAGAGTTACTTTTAGAAAAGGACAAAGTGGAAGTAGGTTTCTATGGAGACGGGGTTACAGTTGCCTCAGTGGAACCGTCAACAGGTACCAGGGTTTTCAGGAGTCATGGTCTGCTGTTTGTGACTTTAAAATGAAGTGCCTTCTACTTCACATTGAGGAGACAGTCCATTGCAAGTGTGGGCAAAAGGTGCTTGTGGGTATTAGGAAGAAAAGAAATTGGTTAAAGAGAATAGGCCTGGAGAAGAGAGTGAGAAGAGGTTGCAAAGGTAGGGCAACATCATTCAGGGCTCTGAATTTGAAATTAATCACGCGTGGGCAGGGAGAATCGTGGAAAATTGAAATGAGTAAAATGGGTGTTTGTGTTATGGTGCATTGCTGGAACACGTGGCTAGCTTAAAAGTCTTAATATTTTGGATCACATTATCTTTCCTCTCCATCATAGAGATCTGTCCATAGTGTTTGTAGAAGGGGTTACCTAGGAATAGAAATGAGATAAGTAGTAGATATTGTCACTACCTAACCAGGTCGTAAGGAGCCAGTTGAAGGGTACAAAATGGATTTTTTTTTAAGTAAAGAAATGGAATCAAGAGACATGTTTCAGAAAGAGGCCTCAGAAACTGGTGATCCATTTGGTTGGGAAAGAAGAAAGATGATGCCAAGATTTGAGAACTTGGTGACTGGAAGAATGATAGTGGAGGAAAACTGGTTTCCTGCTGGGTTTGAAGTCAGGAGAGGAAAAAGCAGATGCAGCAGCTGAACAGAACACTGATTTAGAAAAGAGGCCAAGAGAGAAAAAACTTGCAAAATATTCACATACCTTAAAGATGGGTGTGGAAGGATGGGTGAATACAGGTTTTTTTAAAAAAAAAAAAAAAAAAAAACTTTCTAGGAGCTGGAGAGATGGCTCAGTGTTTAAGAGCGCTGACTGCTCTTGAAGAGGACCCCGGTTCAGTTCCCAGCACCCACATTGGGGCTAACAACCATCTGTAACTCCAGTTGCAGGGGAATCCAATGCCCTCTTCTGACCTCCTCCAGCATTACATGGGAATACTAACATGCAGGCAAACACTCATACACATAAAATGATAGTAAATCCATTCAAGTCTGTTAATATAAGGATTGAAGATTTTAGATTAATAAGTTCCATCTTGGTAACTAAGAAATTAGGACTGATGAAACTCATGCTTTAAAAAATTTCTATTGCAGATAGTCAAATAATTCTAAAAGCTATCTGTCTACTTATGAAAGGGGAAACTAGGGATTGGAGAGATGGCTCAGGGGATAAGAGCACTGAATGTTCTTGCAGAAGACCTGGGTTTAAATCCCAGCACCCACAAAGTGGCTAAACTGTCCGTAACTCCAGTTCCAGGGGGATCCAACAGCCTCTTCTGACCTCCTCAGTCATTGTACATGGGAGCTCTGACATACATGCAGGCAACATACTCATACACATAAAATAAAAATAATACATAAAATATTTTT